TCCTTTTTTAACAGTTTTGGGGGCTTTTGTTTCTCTTTTGTGTCTACAAATAGAATCCTGTGAAAAAACATCACAGCCCCCACCCTCAGCTGCAGGCGACAAGAATCATTCCCATGTTTTACCATGCTAGCAATGGAACAGCTGTGACGGGAAAGGTGGCACATTCTGTTTAGCTCATTTCCCAATGGTGGTATCTGTTAATCCTTATTACTGCGTCATTGGTTTGCATTCCTGCAACTTTACTGACGGAACGTCTTTTGCTTTGTCGAATCAACTGAATGATTTGGCACTGTGTACGCCTTCCGCCCTCAACAGCCACCTTCATGTCTTGCTCCCCCTCTTCAGAAGCAACCAGCAGAGGAATTTAAACCCCCATCCGGCATACTTCTACAGCACGCTAACATTTGGCGTTTCATGTCAAAATTCTTCCTCTGTACCCATAGAGACCCTTTCGAGCTCACTGAGGAAAATTATGCTGTGTCAGATATGATACCTGTCCCTGTACGAGTTTATTCCCAATGAGTAGAATTCTTTTTTTCTTCTTTTTTTCTCACACAGGCGATGCATGGATCACAGATGTAGAAAGTATCTTAAAAATAAAAGCCCCTCCGATTCAGGAGAACCATTCTAGAAATATATAAAAGTATTATTTGGGGACCTGGCCAAAAGGTCTGCCTAGTTCTGTCTTACTATCACTGTAATCAATCTGGGATTTGCAATGTGGAAAAACTGCAAGTGAGGATAGTGTGCTTCTAGAGCTAGTTGAATTGTTAATGCCCCCACCCTCTTTCTCCACACCCTGCACTTCCCGCCCACCTGCCGCATACCCAAACGTCACTCATACATACTGAAGCCCACACTGACACACACACTAACACACACTTAAATAGAACGCGTGCACATACACACACACACACAAACACACAGCCCTGCCATGTTTGTTTGTCAAGCAGTTTGTCTTTTTTACCTACCAACTCCTTCTCTTTCTCCTTCTTCTTCCTGTTCTCTCCCCCTTCTCACCCTTTCTCCCTTCTCTCTTCCCATTTCCCTCCCAAACCCCCTGCATGTCCTAGTGGTACTGGTAGTTGGGTGCATGGAAAAAGCAGCAAGCAAATTGTTTTTCCACTCGTTGAAAAAAGAAAAAAAAGAAATAAAAAAATGTGTCTTCATTTTAAACATTCAGCAATAAATCCCCTTCTCTCCATGTCCATCATTTTCGGAATATGCTAGAAGATTTTTTGCAAGTTTTATCAAAAACGTACTACTTGTAAAAGAAGAAAAATCCAAAACCATCCCTTCATATGAAAAATAAAACTTTATTCCTACCATTTTGAAACAGTCCTGTCATTTTTGTAACACAAAAGCCGTTTCATGGGGATCCTTCTAACTACAAGAACAAGTCAGATTGTGCCACAAATATGATAGCACTAGACTCCAGCATTAGTTTCCAGCTTCATGGAAAGATAGCCTAATTTTATGGTAGCTCCTGGCATCAGATGCTTTCTTTGTAAAGCCAACTAATCATGAATTAGCAATAAACCTGCATGACAGAGCTAAGAACTCCCACTCTATGCAGCAAAAGCACCTCAAAATGGGCCTTTATAAAACCCACCTAAGATATGGAGAATAGAACTGGAGGAAAATAATTATCTTTATGTCTGACAAGTGTTTAAACTCAACAAATGATGAATCTGAGGCTTGTGTGGCAGAAGGCCTTTTTAGCTGAACACCAACACATATATGAGCAGAGCCATTTAGTGTGCCTGTTAATGCAGTAATAAGGTGTGTTCTTGGGAAACCACCCTTGCGTCTAAAGAAAAGCTCAGTTTTGGACAAAACCATGATTTTGCTAAGCAGACCAGACTGTATTGAGAGGAGAATTAAATAATGAATCTTACCTGGGAGCACTATTCATCAGCCTCAGGGATCAAATGAATGGAGCTCCCCACCAGTCAGTGAGAAGCCAAGAAACCTTTAGGCGGGCAAGAAAATCACGCCGGCCCTTTGTTTAACAGTTTGATTGACCGGGACATCTAAACAACAGAAAATCCTAACGTACTAACGAGATGAATGAACAACTCAGTTTTCAAGATTGGAAAACATAATTGACACATAATTTTAGCAGATGACTTTCTTAAATTGCTCTTTTATTTAATTTTTAAATGAAAATCAGATCCAGCATCACTGCATTTTATGAGAACTTTAGCAGTTGTGACAAAAGAAAATGTAAATTAAGTGTGCGTCTGTTTTTATTGTTTATTTTTCTGGGTCCTTTTCACTTATAGAATAAGGTACTATAAGTAACTTTCTTTGGCATGTGCTCTGATATGTTCACCGTGACTGAAGTGATATGTTGTACATGTGGACATCTTTATCCAGTCTGGTTTAAGAAACCTAGTTATAACACATACACTTTACACATGAACCTTCTCTGTCTACAAATATCACAGTCATGAAGATCAAAGATTCATTTTAACCCAACTTCACACAGATAAACAGAAGACCAAATACCTGGTTGATTACTACATTGTTTGTTACATGTTCATAATTTCAACTTTATTTATTAATTAAAAACAACCTCGAAAAGCTGGTCTAGAAATGTCTTGAAACCTGAAATACAGCTAATAGAAGTAATAGAATGTATTTTATCTAATCCACTGGGAAGTCATTGTATTGCATTGATAATGCATGATAATTTAGTAAGAGTAATAATTTAATTCAGTATGGAAACTGTTGTTATTTGTAATCTGTCCTCAGTTCAACCATTTGGAGAGATGATGATCCTTTTTAGAGTTCCTGAAATGAGAGCAAGGTATTGTGTGAGTTTTTACATGGATGAACACACAAACTTTATTTAAATGGACACATGAACTGTATTTTATGTACAACTAAACAACAATCATGTCAAATCAATCTTTGAAAATCTTTTTTACCAATCAGTCGTTGAAGCTGGAAATGTCATAGTTGGAACATTACCACTTCGGTAGCTCTTGCTATGGCTTTGTTGTAAAAAGGCCTCTTTCAAACTCCAACAAGAAGACGTAATTTTATTCTACATTCAACAAAGGAGTGGCTAAAATACTTGGTAAAATGTTACCTTGAAAACCATTTACAATTACCTGGGATTGGGGGGGATAAATGTTGCCATTGGTTAATTTTACGCGTTGAACGCGTTTGCATGCAGCAACAACTTGTGGTCACTCTCCCAGTGTCCTTATGAGAGTTTGGTGGCCTGACAGCAAAGAGAAGAATACATTCAGTTTACTTTTCCAAAAACAGGATACAGGGAAGGGGAGTGACATGTTAAGCTACACTGTGGAATGCAACATAGCTGTGTCAGAGAAGATTTTGAAAACACAATTTGTTGACGGATTGAGTTACTGTCTGTTAAAAATGTGTGACAGTGACAACTTATGTCACATTTCACAATGTCTAAAAAATTAGGTCCAAATCCTGTAAGCATATGATTTTTTATTTAGTTTATGCAACACATTCTGATAATATCGACACCAAACATTGTTCAATGGACAGTCCCAGGCGAACAACCATTGTTTATGTCTATATTTCAGTTTTTCCATTAAGTGGGGCCCTTTGTTGCCAGATGCTTTGTGGCACAGGCTTCAGGATTACAAACATTTGAATTCCTGTATAACCTGATGGTCGGGCAATACCAATGATGTCACTGTCCGCAGATAGTCATCAATCAGCTCAACAAGTAACGCGGATTCTGCTGAAAACATGAGAGTACTTAGCTGCTACACTGGTTTCAGAGAATTTCCTCCGAGCTGTTATGTGTGAGCTGGTTGGCTTCACAATGTTGATTGACGGTCCTCTCCTGCCACTTTCTGGCAAGATGAATCAGATTTACTTACTTTTAATTCATCGTGATTAAATAAAGCAACTTGATTGCTTTGGAAATTGACAAGGGAACAAAATGAAAGATGAAAACATTGCAACCTCTCCGTCTGCCTCAAGACTTTTGCTCCCAGTCCTCTGTCTCATTATTTCCAGGGCAGAGGTGTTTGCACTTGTGACAAATGCTACAGAGCAGCATGCTGCACTCACTCTTTGTTAGTCAATGGGTGTATTCCTGCACACAGTTCAGTGTCATTGTTTAGCCAAGTCACCAGGCAGCCACGTTAGTCTACAGGCATTTCTGGAGTCCTCTGCATTACACGTTCATTTTTCCTGAACTTCTTGTTGAAGGTAGGCAACAATCTTCTCTCTGCTCTAAGAGATACATAATTAGATTACTAGCACAAACTATCATAAAGCTATCATGCTGTAGGATTAATTATCACCATTTAGTCAAAGCTACATGTACTACTAAAAACACATGTGAAAGTGATATTTGGGTGTTTTTAAAATTTTCTTTAAATAAAAAAAAAAGATTCCAGATAAAAAAGCTTGCACTTTTAATCCATTTTTCTAATTTAGTGGATAGTCAATACTTAATTCTTGTCTTGCTTATGAGTCTATTTCATTCCTTTCAAATGCGAAGAAACATTTCCTATAGACTGAAGTATTTTTCACTTTGACAATTAATTGGATCATGATATAATCTTGTCCAGCAGTGGACAGAGTTTTCTATGGTGTCAATGAATCAATGAAACTCTTACATTTAAAAAAAGCAATCCCCATTTCAGGTCTTAAACGATCATCAGACCTGTTTGTCAGACTTGTTAGCAAACTTTAACATGTGTTAAACAATTTATTTCCCATTCACTGTTTCATTAACGTCTTTCTCTGCATGAGTCTCTGTAAATTAAACCACGAGTAAAAATTGACAATTGTAGAATTTGTCCATAAAGAAAGTGCAATAATGGTTATTTAAGTACTTGTACAGTTTTCTGACTGCTTTCTGTTGTTTTTCTGCCACAATCCATTTAGTTTAATTTGCAAAGCCCTTGAACTAAACAGATATATGCAGCATCTCACAAAAGAAGAGTGCACAAAAAGGACTTGTGCATATCATTAAGTGTTTCTGTGTTTGCAGCTGAATGGCACGGCGTTGCTGTCGTCTGCGGAACATTCTGATCTGTGTGTGCACACCATGCGTCTGCCTGGCCCTGCTAACCATCTACATTGCTGTGATGGTGAATTTAAACATGCTGCATGGAACAATCGTTCTTGACTCCAGGCAGGGTCATCATTTTGTTGCCCACGGAACCTTAAAAAATGCCAACTTTGCCTCATTTCCTAAAACTTTCTGGAAGCACCACCTGGATGGCAACGCCTTGTGGAACGAACTCCAGCGGGCCATTGACTACAGTTTCAACCCCATTCTGCGCCCTGGACAAACCAAGGCGAGGTCCACCAGAAGCAACTACGAAGAGTCCTTGCTGAGGCAGAGTTTTTCTGAAGTCACTTCCATGGATGAGATGAGAAAAATCTTTGAGAACTTTCCTGCGCAGATAAAAGAGTTTGTAGGCTACATGCAAAGGAGGAACTACCCTATTCTCATCCAGCCAGATGGAGTTTGTGGAACTGTGTCAAAGGATGAGAAAGAGTCCCCTCTCATTCTTTTGGCCATCAAGACAACGGAATATAACTTTAAGAATCGACAAGCCATCCGACAGACTTGGGGCCAGGTAGGATGGTTGGTGGGACACAAGGATAACAGAAGCAGTGAGGAGGTGGTCGGAGGGTATGTTCACAGGGTATTCTTGCTTGGCAAGGAAGACAATGGCGAGCTAAGTGTAGATGTGTCAGATTTACTGAAGGCAGAGAGCAGTCACTACGGAGACATTCTGCAGTGGGACTTTAAAGACACCTTTTTCAACCTCACCTTGAAGGATGTGCTCTTTTGGAGCTGGTTATCAAACCACTGCGATCACACTCATTTCGTTTTCAAGGGAGATGACGATGTCTTCGTCAACACCCCAAAGCTGGTCACCTATCTCCAGGATCAGCTGAAGAAGTTACGAGCAAACAACAGCTTGAAAGACTTTATGGTCGGAGAGGTCATTCAATCAGGCCAACCCAATCGACGCAAGAGCTCCAAGTACTTCCTCCCAGAAACCTTCTACAAAGGACTCTATCCTTTGTATGCAGGTGGGGGTGGCTTGGTGTACTCAGGCTTGTTGGCTAAGCGGCTGCACACCGTGTCGAAAACGGTCCACCTTTTCCCCATCGACGATGTATATGTAGGGATGTGCATGATTCGACTCAACGCCGCCCCCGTCCACAACCATGCCTTCCTCACGTTCGATTTCCCAGAAAAAGAAGGAGAAGATCTGTGCTCCTATCACACCATCCTCATGGTCCACAAGCGAAGCCCAGAACAGATCACTTCTCTCTGGGCCGACATGCACAGGACGCAGAAGCAGTGTCAGGCTGTGCCTCTGAGGTCAGTGGACAAGGACAGCAGTTCAGATAAACCAACCACGTGAAAAGCTGAACGGCACTCCAAAGGCTGTTGAAGGGCGTCTTGGGGTGACATTTCAATTTTTTAACTCAAACCCATCAACGTTTCAGCTCATGCCTCTGTCGATGAACTTCAACAATACCATCATGACAATGTGGAGCGGAAACTGGCCCAGCTGAGATCCTGTGCTTCAGTTGAAGCACCACAGCACACCATGAAGGCCTCAGCTGCATTGGAAATTGACTTTTTATTCAGAAAATACATTTAAAAAATCGAAATATTATTTTAATAAAAGACAATTATCAAATGTGGGTTGAATATGCACAGGTATCCACATCAGTGCTTTACACAGCAGTGTTAAGAAAGGATTCACACTCATAACTGTATTTTAAAGAAAAGCACAGAGGAAGATTTTCTTCATGCCATTTTGGTGAAATTGTATTATCCATTCTATGCTTTCGCTGATTCTAAAGTTACTGATTTTTTTGTCTTTTTTTAAGCGTATCTTTCATGTCTGAAAGCATATATTGGGTGTTACTTCTAAAATAGCGTTGACTGCAGAATTTCTCTTTAGAAAAAAAAGTTACTATGTGCTATTTTACCCATAAAGGGTGAATACATGTTAAAAGCTACTAAATTCCTTTTTTTCTTTGTTAGGATGGGTTTGTGGTGTGGTCGACCCCAGTTATGCAGATTAAAACTTGACTGGAAACTTCCTTAGCAGCACGTTATGATTTAAGAGGGGTTTTCTTAGCATTCCTGTGCATGTTCTGGAATGACAATAAAACTAATTTTTTTGTATCTATCTTTTAACTTGTTGTTTAACCCGAATTTTAGCTTTTTTTCCCCAATCAGGTGACTTCAATTTAAGGAGACTTCTCTCTGTCTTTATCATGCTAAACTAGTTCACTAGGGGAACCAGTTAGACTGGAGCACTGTACTCCACCAGCAGTGCAAAGCTCAGGTGTTTCTGCTTGTTATAAAGTGTTGATGCATTTTTTTCCCTGAAACCTTGGTGTGGAAGATCTGGTTCGACTGGCTCCGTTGCGATTTTAAATTTTAAGACAGATGGGGACATCGTAGGGGAGGAGCTGGATACTCTGACGACCGTGGCAGAGAGGAGGATGCTGTCCAGGCTTCAGGCCATCTTGGACAATGTGTCACACCCCCTCTACGACACACTGGCCCAGCAGATGAGTTCCTTCAGCAGAAGACTCCTCTCACCCAGATGCACCACAGAGCGCCACCAGAAATCCTTCCTGCCTGTGGTCATCAATCTGTACAACGCCTCCCTCTGAGAGCCAAACTAAATCATTGACATTATCCACCACTTATTTTTACCTATATATATATATATATATATATACACATATAGTTTCTTATGTATATATTTATCTATATTATATGAGGAATTTTGTATATATATATATATATATGTACAGACATGTATATGCCGCTGTTTTATTTATGGAGCCAGTAACAAAAATAATTTCCCTCTGGGATTATTAAAGTATTTCTGATTCTGATTCTGATTCTGACAGACTTTGAACAAAACCTGTAAGAATCTAGAAGTGGTATGCATGTCATGAAATATGTCATGAATTTATTCAAACAATTCAATCAACACAACTGTTTCCACAAGGAAAAAAAACACAGCTCAAATGGGAAATCAATTAAACATTCTGCATAAAACACATGATCGGATAAAGCTGGCCCTCTGTGTTGAGCACACACGGGTTTTGTGATTCATTGTGCAGAACTTAAATCATCAGAAAAGCTTTTAAATGTGGAACTGACAAAAACATGACTGGAATGCATTTGATTTAACAGTAATTTTCAAACAGTGCTCGGAGTAACGAACAGATTAACTTTGTTCTACTCAAGATGATGAAACGAAATGTAAAAATAGAGTTTGAGATTTAGTAATAGCTCTACTTTGTCCAAATCTGAAATGAATTTGAAACCCACCATAAATGGAACCAGTGTGTCTTTAGTAAAATTTCAGCTCCGAGTTAACACGTCAGTGTTTTAAGGATCAGTTTGAGTCTCATTGAGCAAGCCAAGCAGCTCAAAGCCTAGACATACCGAGCCCCACCTCGAGGACCTTTGTTTGAAACAAATCAGTCAATCGATCAGTTTGTGAAGGAGGCAGAGCTTCGCTTTCACCGTTTCTTGTCCTCCCCAACCCCTGTGCCATTGAGCGTCACTTTTCTGTCCTTCCCTCCACCTCATCTTCCTCTTCGCTGTCGTTCTCCTCGCTCTCGCTGTACTGGTAGTTACAACGGTTGGTGTTAACAAAGAGGTCAGCTTCATCATCCTCCGTATCACTGCCGTCCTGCTCTTCGTCGTTTTCCTCCGCTTCCTCGTCCTTATGCTGCTGTTTGTCTGGTTTATCCTGAGGTGACGGTTCCTCCATAAACTCCTCTGGCCTGGAAAGAAAAAAAAAAAGAAGAAAAAGTCAGCTTACACTGGGATGCTTAGATGTGAGACTGTGTGCTTCTACCCACCAAAGCTGCTGTTTCTGCAGGTGCTGGATGTGATCTTTATAGAGTATGAAGCTGATCTCTGCCTTCACCTTCTCTCCTTCCTCAATAGGATCCACAATCACATAATCACCTGTAGAATTAAGTGGAAAGGTAAAGAAAAAGATGTCACATTCAAGCATTTGATAACACATTTGTGATCCTCTGTAAAGAAAAAAAAATTTAAATAAGACTTCTGAAACGCAACAATAAAAAATAACACATTTTACATTATACAGTCCAAATAATTGATTCTTGAACAATAATGACAGAGGAGAGTTAACACACAGCTAACTATACTACAAAACAAATAGGAATTCAGGAGTGAAAACAAGAAACTTGTGCTGCAAAAAAAGATGGACCCGACTCCCTAAAGTAAAGTAACAACTAAACTATGATCCCAATTTAGACCAGTGAGCCGTTATAACCAACTTGTTATTAAGTTAATCGATAGGGAACCTCTTTTCATCAGTGCTTTATCTGGGCACAGCTAGATCAAGCTGGACCAGACTACCATAATCACTACCCTAATGCCAGTCATCATTGCTCCTCACAGCCCAACACGCTATGTCTTCTACCAGCAAAAGGACTCTAATTAGCTAACCCAACTTCTAACCATCAGCACAGCAGTAAAGCATGTGTGGGGATTCAAACCCTGGCTCGGGTAGGTGGTAACCAAGGGTGCTAGAGCTGGAGGCAGTAAGAGACACGCCAGTAGATTGAACAAACCACCTCACCTATATGTCCAGCAGTCACTAACAATGCCAGCCAATACCAGGTCATATAGAGGCCAATTCCCCTGACATGGCAGCCTCGTCTCAAAAACCTCACTTAAATACTTCCTTGGATTCTTCTTTGTTCATCCCAAAAGTCTGTTTACCTTGAGTGGTACTAACAAACATATGCCTCATAATGCACTTAGAGAGAATAGGTTCACGCTGGATGATTTTGCTCAAAATAAAAACTTTTGTAGCAAGCTTTAAATGGAAGAAACATCAATGTAGTGATATCTGTACATACAAGTAACTAATGACTAAATAACAGAAAAAATTTATATACAAATGATCATGGCGATATTTGTCACAAAGTATCTAAAAGCGTGATTGAAAACAAATAGCTTTTTTTATTTTTATTTAAAAGCTGAGTAAAAAAAGACAAAAGGGCTTCTGCTGACAGATGTGCGACACGCACCTTATCTGAAAGACTACTCTCGTAACATTCAGTTTGTAAACAAAACAGGCCCGGTTTTACAGCACAGCGCAACAATGAAGCTCCAAGCAGAGGTGCTACCTTTAATTAGCACATGATCACAGTCCATCATTCTAAAGACACTTCGATCTTTTGGTGTAGGTAACAACATAGGGAAAAAATACGGATCATTACAGAAAGTTGCTTTTTACGTTCAATCAAATTTGGTTTGCCAGTTGAATTCACTGCTAAAAAGTACATTTCCGATTGCAAACCTGTCCCTAAAGCCACAGGAAGTGACCATTAACTCAGAGGCAAATGCTAACAAATAGGTTTGATAAGCACTTAGCTTTAGAGGTCACAAATCATTGGGAAAGGTCTATAAAGCCAGTGTCCGCCACTGGGAGGGGACTTATGACAGTGGAGGAAAGGATTCACAAGCTCTACACACTGTTGAAGCAGACCAGAATAACTAAATACTATCAGAATAACAGTGCGATTTCATTATCAACCTTTTTAAAAATGGTCCCTAAATTGTTCTTTCATGAGGCAACCACGCCACTCCATCACTTACCTCTCTTGATCCAGATGTTTTTGCGGAACTTGGTTGGCATGCTCACCAGGAATGTCTGGCCCTGAGGCGTGATGGTTTCATGGAGGTTGTTGCCACGACTACCAACAACCTGTCAGAATAAGACAAAAAAGTAGACTTTGGACCAGACCTATTCATGCTACCATCACACTAATAACTAAATTGTAGCTGACACTCGGTTAAAAAAACAACACAACGTTACCTTTACGATCTGCTGGTTTTCTGTTGGTGTGACAAAGTCTCCCAGAACTTCCTGGACAACGTGTTTGCGTTTGGTGGCCTGTGACATTATAAATTAAATACTTCGCGTTCCCTTGCCAGCTGAAAAGAAGCACAGTTTCAACGAAGAGTTGACAGCAAGTGTAGCATAAAATAACATTATATTTCACAGCTTGAAAAGGAAATAGGCTTCGTCGGGTACTTCATGCCAATCATCTATTTTTTTTGGTTCTTGGGATCTGAAATTCCTACTTTAGCTGAACGTGCTAACATCAGCCATCCTGCGAAGGCGCCACGACCACTTACGACGGTCCTACCTTGAGACCTACCTTGAGTAAAAAACAGAAACCAACGGTGTCCAGTCGAGGATCAAATAAAATTCCAGAGGGCAGGAAAAATGAAGGGAGAGAGACTACTTCAAGTTATCAGTCAGCAAAAGCAGAACCCCATGTGTCCATGTTTTCTGTGGGCATGCAAAAGGAGAGCAAAGAAAGTACATCCTGTGTCAAACGGTCTTTTGCCTTCAAAATAAAAGTAATCCTTTTTTTGTATTTTATTGTCGTTCGTGCTCCATTTTTATAGCACAAAAATGTGTACAGTTTTAGGAAATTCATAAGCACGTTAGAATTTAAGCAATTGATAATATATATATAATCACAGCTGTGAATTTTACTGGTGTAAAAAAAAGGAATTTGTTATTGTGATAGCTATATTCACGATTGACCTAATTTGAGATCTTCCGGGGTTTCACGTTTGCATTGTGGGGAATTGAGTTTATTCCAACTCTGAGTAATGTTCAAGATCACCAACGTTTAAATGTGATCCAGTGTAAAGTGACTGCAGCCCCTTGTGTTCATATAAAAAACCCATAAAATAATAAACCACATTTTCACCCCATATATTTAATTTCGTTATATAATTAAAGGTGTCCAATGATGTTTGTACGGTGGCTGAGAAGTGCAAAACACATTTACAATTTAAAAAACACCTTATGATTTCATCCATCCTTCCATTATCAATACCGCTTATTCCCTGTTGGGGTCGCGGGGGGAACTGGAGCCTATCCCAGTGGTCCCCTTATGATTTAAAAAAGCTAAATAAAATTTTAGGATACACATTTAAAGTTCAGAAAACACATTTACAAATTAAAAAAACATAACATTTTAAGAAACAATCTTTTTCAAAAATGTTTGTCTCCTAAAAAATTAATTTGTTTCTTAAAATGCTATATTGTGTGTTCATTTGTTGATGTCAACGATTTGGGAATAAGCAGTTCACAAAATGGATGGATGTGTTTCTTTAATCGTGAATGTGTATCTTGCAATGTTATTTTGTTTTTTAATTTTCAACGTTTTTTTTATTTATTGTAAATGTGTTTTGCACTTCTCAGCCACCGTATGTTTGTGACTAAAGATTGCATAGAAAAATGTAACCACTAAAATTAGGAGAAATTTATTTCAGCAGATACATTAAAGTTTACATGTTTAAAAAAATGCTTGTAACAAACAATTGGTATATCACTCCTTTTATTCATTCATCATCCATTATTTCACTTTAACAGCAGTTGGTATTATCATGATTGTTATTATCATGATTATCTTTTTTTTTATTATCATGATTTAAAGGGAAACAAATTCTTCACAGAAAAGTTAAACACTACAAACAAAACTTCCAAGAAAGTTGACCAAAAAGAAGTCTAACTACAGTTAGTAAGACTCCAAAATACGGCTCAGTTAAAAGTTAGTATTGTTAGAAGATAAATGTTACAACCAATACTGCCCGCACAGTCAATGTAACCTGCTGGAATAACGGAATGAAGATGTGGACATATAATCCAGTTTAAAATACTGCAAAATACCGGGATCACATTGAAGCTAGCTTTATCAGAGCTGGTATGATTTCTTAAAGTGACACGAGGTGACATTAGGTTAAAATACAAGACCAGGTTTAACGGAGAAGAATCATCAAAAGGACATCACGTTTCTTCACTTTGATCTCCGAGCAGTATGCAGAAATGCTGGTGTGGGTAGTGACACAGATGCATTGCACATGGCATAAAGATGTGTGTGTTCAGATGAGCAGCTAGTTCAGTTGACCACAGCAGAAGAGCACATCTTGTTGATGCCGCATGCATTGGACCCTCTGTAAAGGTAGTAGTAACCCTGTAGAAAAGAAAAACACATGATGTAAAAATGCCTCAAAGCTACTTTAAATGGGAGTGTTATTTTTTCAATTATTGTGATATGTTTAACACAAAAAAAACGCACTATAAAGAAGTTCAATTATAAACATGTTGTCATAGACAAAGACAATAAATCATCCTTATTGTATCTCAAATTGGAGTTTGTGTTGCTGGGGTTATTCTGGTACCTGCTCTCCATAATCCTCTCCCCAGCTGTTTTTGATTGCCCAGAACGGGATCCCATTACCTGAAAACACAGAAATATCCATACAGTGTACTTAGACACTTTCCAGAAAATCTTCTTTCCTTGTGGATGCCATTTAAAGGCAGGTTACAAGAATGAGGAGAAAGGATGTAAAAAAGACTCACGCTTTCCATATCCCACCAGCAGCACGGCGTGGTCGATCATCCAAGGGTTACAGAAGATCTTCAATGGATGAGACACACCCTTCCTGTAGAACTACAGGAGGGAAAGATATTGTTTAAACAAATGAAACTCTGAATCATGTGGCATCAATAATGTTAAAGAGATCATATTTTATAAGCAGCTAAAATACTAAATAGAATGCAAATTCTAGCTAATCTAACTTAGTTCAAAGCATATAGAAAAAGAAAAATATTGTAATGACCTGCATTGCAAAGGCATTCAGAGCTACAGAGACGGGTCCATTCTCAGCCAACCAGGCTGCAATTTCTGTTGAGAAAAAGGGGGGAAAAAAGCCAATCAAAGCCTGCTTGCTGAACTGTGCGCCCCAACAAATATCAGCGGGTTTGCAGTGGCTCACCCGTCTCATCTTTGGACAGCTCCACAGAGCTGTTGATGTAGGCTGCCACCTTTCCGTCGGTGAAGTCGCACCTCTGCTTGTGCCCAGTGTAGGAGTAATCTGTTTCAGTCTCCAGACCACCTGAACCACAGACAGAGGATAAAAGGTTAAAAAGGTTTGTGCTTGTATAAACCGCTCTCCTTTGCATATGTGGAAAACATCAATCGGTTTCTTACCAAGCTTCTCTATAGCTTGGTAAGCATTTGAAGGCAGCCCCCCTCTGCATGCCTGGTCCAGCCCATCACAGTCAACTAGTTCTGTAGAGTGGAAAGGAAAAAACAAAACAATTGAACAACTGTCAGCAATGGAAACATTTTTTCTTTTCAATACAGCAAAAAAAGTTCATTTGAAGTATTAAAATAAAAACATTTGGGGTCTGTACAAACCAGAATTGTACTTTGGACTGTGCAATATAAATGTGTTTTAATGGATTTTTTCTTCTTTCCTCGTGGATAGAGTTTAGTTAAATGTCAAGCCCTGCAATATTTCTAAACAAAACAAAAACGTGACATCCAAGATTTTATTTTAAAAATGGCAATTGAATTCTGGGAGGTATCAGAAGTTGTTTTAATTTGGTCAATAAATCTGATCGTCATGCTGAGCCCAAGTGCATCTTTTCAAAAGAGTGAAAATGAAAAAGGGTTACCTTGTTCAGAAAGTGACAGCAAAGTTCCGTTTTTTAAGAACCACTGCCCTTCAATGTTTCCTGTGACAGAAAAGGCCCAGCAGGATCCACACATACCCTGTAATAAACACACACACATATCAGCCTAAACATGCAGCTTGCTTCAGTTAATCCTTACAAGCAAGGGGTTCAAGAGAAGGGCCTTATGGTGATGCCTAGTCAGTACCTGGTTCTTAACAGAACTGACAGCTCCCTTATCCCGCCAATCCCAACTGTCGGGGGCGGAGCTTTTAGCTGGGAAAGCTGGTTTCAAGGGCTGATGGAGAGTCCACTGACTCAGGAGCGGGTTCAGGTATGTGGAGCGGAACTCCTCCTCTGAGGAAACGCATGAAAGGGAGAGCAATCAGACTTCTAGCATTATTGCAGAATTACTGATGAAACACACGAAAAGCAGAAGCTGCATCAGCTTGTCGGAAACTTTGTAAATAGCTGGCACATGCTGGGCACGCACCAGTGAGGTCGCTGAACTTGGTGACGCCGTACTCGGCTGAGCCCTGATCCAAAGACTGGAGCTTCTCAGCCGTCCTCAGGTTCTCGTGGAAGATTCGCAAACGTTTGTCGGCTTCTGCTCCGCCACAAACACAGATTCAAAAAACATTTAAATGCTCACAGTAAAAGGCTCCGCTATTCTGCATTCTAAGGTCACTTTGACATTTTAAACTCTGATCTTTTTTAGATAGGGACTCATTTACTAAGTCTGTATTATTCAACCGGTTTGAATAAGGTTCAAGTTTATTCACATGCTTCCAACAAAGCAGCACAAAATAAAAATATATCAAATAACTCCAGAGGTACAAAATGGGGGCTGTTTACAGACCTGCAAGCAAGGGGTGTAAAAACAAAAGGATGTGACACACTTTGCAGCACGCAGCCTGAAATTGATGCAAACCACTCACCGTCCTGGCTGCTGTAGACCTTGTTGTATTTAACCATGAACTCTTTGAACTGGCCCAGCAGCTGCACTGACTCCTGCCCAACACAAAGTCAGAGACACAATCTTGATGCATCCCGTCTAGTTCATGATGATCCAAATATTTTACATAACAAATGGACTGCTGGGTCACATGGCAAGTGGATAACAAGACAGAGGTTATCATCAGCATGTTCTTGCCAAGCGTGTAACTGATCTATGTGACACACTTCTTTTACCTCCAGGGGCTTGATGGGGGTTAGATCCTCCACTTTGTTGGTCTCCTCTACTTCAGCATCAACTGAGAAATTAAACACAGATGTTAACTGTGACCGTATCCAATGTGAGTCCTCCAGTTTTTGCACTTAATGGTGCAATGGCTCCACAGTCTTTATATTGTCATGTTGCATAAATATACAAAAGAGATATAAATTATGCAAAGGGCTTGTCTAATAAAAATCAAGATACCATTAGACATGGGATTGTGGCCTTTTACCTCATTGATGTCTGTGATTTCTGTAACTTATCAACCAGATTCGTAAATAACAGTGATGTAACATGAGGGTCTGATTCAACAAACAAGCCAAAGGGCAAACTGCCAACTTGTCAAGATCAGAACCCGTTGAGTTAAACATAAGATGATTTATTTTACAGTGTCGGCCAGGAAACAGGAAATCAGTTCAGTCGGAGATGGAAAAACAGTATGAAAGTCAGAAACAAAGTTTGCATAGTTTTAACAAGCTTGAAGGTCAATGGTTGGCATGAGTACTTTTATTCATAATGCAGTCTGTAACCTTTTAGTCAAGCTGTGTATCATTTAAGTACTCTGCAGGAATATATCTTACAGCTTCCTTAAGTATGCAAGGGTCGGCCCTTCAGAGGATCCATCCCTCCATCAGACCTGCTGCCACTTATTTTGAGTCTGCTTTTTGTGTCATCTGGAATAGCTCAGCTTTTTTCCCTGTCACCTTTCCTAAAAGAATTGCTTCTTTACAGCCACCCTTCCACGGAGAACATTTCTGATGAGCCCTCAATTAACAGTAGATGGTTTTGAGTGGCTTTACAAAACTACTTTAAAAGATGACAAAAAAGTAATGTGGTGCCTAAAAGTAGAATATGATTAAAATACGGAATTGGATAATACAAGAAACACAGTTGTGATGTGGCAGGTGTAAAATAAAGCTGTGATTTTTAACATTTTGAGTCATATTTGCTCCCTACTGACCTTTAGGCTGGCACTTCTGTTTGAGCAAGGTTGAAGTGCCCTGCCATGGAATGTCCCATACTTCAAATAAGCAAACCTCTGTCTGAAATATTAAAAAAAGAAAGGGGATAGAAACAATAGACATTAATACAGTATATAACAAAAATTTAGAAAATGCAAAAATTTTGCAAAAGCAAAATCACATGTTGACCACCTTGCTAGGTAACAATACTGAAACAGAGCAAATTTTTAGAGCTTGAACTTAAACAAAAGAAGAAGAAACAATAGCTCCTGCATCAGCTTTGTACATGAATGCATGTGGACATCAAGTTTAAGGGGTTAAACCAAGTCAAATTTATGTCACAAGACCAAAGGGCGGGGACATCTCTGCTGAACAAAAAGACATGTTACCGACTGTGTTATGAAAGACTCAGCAGCTAAACTGTTTGCTGAAATAATACATTTCATAACCATGTTGGAAAGCTGCTCTTTTGAGCTCTATTGAGCTTAATCTCTATCTCTTTTAAGAGCACAAATCCTACCTTGAGTTGCTCCGGATCAGGATAGAAGTCACATGTCCTCAGTATGGTGGATTTCTTACACTGTGTGTTGCTGAGTTCCACTGTTAAAGTGTAACGAATTCCCTTGACCAACTGAAAAATAAAACAAAACAGATAAACACATGTAGTTTATGAAGAGGATTACTTTCCTATAGTAATACATGTATAGGTACTTTACTTTAAAATCTCTGGTGGTGGCACAATACGGTTTCAATGTTTTTGTTGGCTGTTTTTATCGTGGATTACAAAGTGTTTTTTGTTTTATTCAGTCTTGGGTGGAATTTAACCCATACTGCCCTCATGGTTGCGTTGTCAAGCCAGTTCGAACGTAACGATTTAACTTCCGTTCAGATTCATTTGTTATCATATTACATAGAGTCTAAAATAACAAATATTAGAATAAAAAAAATCACGAACGAATTTATGATTTGCTAAAATTCAAACAAGTTTGTGTACAAATATATATTTAAACAGCACGTAATTATTAAATTTTATCATAGGCTTTATGATCATTCTTTGAAAGTATGTCCTATTATTTCCGGTCTGACTTCAGCAAACCTTTGCTAACATGACGCAGCTGTTTACAGTGTGTTGTTTACGAAAACCGTGAAAAGCTATTGCCATCTAATATCAAGGCAATAATAATAAACAAAGAAAAAAACGTTTAACCCAACATACATCCCCGTATCATGCTCTAAAATGTCAGTATTCTGAATTAAAAGCATGTTTCTATACTTGTTTTACCTGCTTGGTGGCAGAGACTAAGCGGCTGACTCTGCGAAGGTGCATGGCGTTGGAGCCCCGGTTGTATCGTTCTTCCGCGAAAAACAGTGCCTTCTTTAAGCCCGGGTCAGAATCGTGCAAACGGATAGGAGATCCGGGAGGCCCGATCAGAGGCCGGTCGAAGTCTTCACCCATCCCGAACAGCGGGCTCGGTACTGTGGCCAGAGCAAGCCAAAGGATTAGGAGGCAGCAACGAGATCCGACCACCATGTTGTCCTCTATATTCTGTCAAAAACAAAAAGGACCCGTGTTGAGTTTGCACTTGCTTAATAAGGTGCGTTTGGTTTCGGAGAAATACAATCTATATAAGGATTGTTATGTTTCCCATTGGTTACACAAATGGTCCATCTCTGTTGACAAACAACTGAGGCTGCGTTTCAGGAGGAAACCATGGGCTTTAACGGGAGGGGTGCGTTAAAGTCACACGACACCCTAAATAAAGTAGGTAATAACCACTTACGACACGAAATAGTTTACGAACATAGCGTCAATGTGACCTTTAGATTCCAATTAAGCTTGATTGGTCATTAACTAATGAGTACAAGAAGGTAAACATTAATCTATTCCCAGATGTCAAGGGGAACTAAAATTACCCCTAGCTTGTATGACACGCTAAAATATATAAAATATATAAACAGTTTTTTCTTTGGGTAAAAAAAACAAACAAACAAAATTAATATCATACGTCAATTTCAAAATACATATACTGATTACCTTTGAAATGTATTTTATTTCCCTTCCTCGTCCCTGCTGACCTTACATGTAAATTGAAATGTTTTCAATTTAAACACCAGAGGGAGACAAAGTATGTTTTCTGTAGGACTTCCGTTGAAGAAGATGCATATTATATCTATCGATCAAGCCAGATGACACTCATCAGCTAACTAAGCTTCAAATGTGTCTTCAGGATGTTAAAACCTGGATGACCTGTAATTTTCAAATGTTAAACCTAGATAAAACTGAAGGTAAGCACCTCCGTGACGTATTATCTAGAGATATAGTTTCCCGGGATGCCATTGCCCTGGCCTCCAGCACCACTGTGAGAGATGTTGGAGTTATCTTTGATCAGGACATGTCGTTTAACCCTCACATTAAGCAAATTTCAAGAATCGCCTTCTTTTTTCCCCTCCAATATATTTAATTGAATTTTCTCTTTTTTAACACAACAAACCTACAGACAACAAACTTAACAATGTAACATGTACTTTTACACACTTACTTTCACTCATGCACTCACCATTCAAACCTGCATTTATTTAGTTCCAAGACTATACAAAACCCTTTATATTAAAACAGAGAAAAATAACAAGGTAATATATGAATAGAAACTGTAGTCAAGACATCCATTGATAACCTCCACCTTAAGTCCCTATGATCCTCTTATATGGCCCCCATAGCTTCTCAAAGTCATGTTTTTTACACTTGGCAGTGTATGTTAGTTTTTCCAGTCCGAGTGAGTTTTCAATTTCTTTCTTCCAGAGTCCCATGGAGGGGGCTTCCATGCTCCTCCACCATAATGCAATAGATCTTCTGGCTTGAAGAAGTCCGTAGTCTATCAATGTAGTCTTCATCTGTGATTGTTTAAGTTCCATTGGATATATTCCTGGGACACAGATTTTAACCTCTAATGGGACTTTCACCTTAAACAGCTCAGATAGACACCCAATAACATCCTTCCAAAACTCCTGGACTTCAAGACATTCCCACATACAATGCAGAAGAGTTCCTTTTTCAAATAAACATTTAGCGCAAGTATCTGGAATATCACTGGACATGTGATGAAGCCTAACTGGTGTAATATAGGTTCTCATAAGCCATTTATATTGCAGAAGTTTAAATCGTGTGTTTATTGTTTGTTTTTGTGCTTTTAAGCATGCCTGATTCCAGTCTTCTTATTTATATCTTCGAGAGTATCTCCTCTCCAAGCGCCTTACTTATCTGTTGCTGAATCCTCAGAGGAAAGCATCAACAAATTATAGAACACAGAAAGAAATCCTTTCCCTTTTAGGTCTCCAACACACACCTCTTCTATTCTTGTTGAGGGTGGAATGTCAACTATTTGTTTCAGTTTTGATGACATACAGTTTTTCAATTGCAAGTATTTAAAAAATGTTTTGGGGGTATGAAATATTTCTTACATAACTGATCGAAAATAAGCAACATGCCATCAGCATATAGGTCTTTAATTTTCTGAATGCTTTTGGTTTCCCACAGTTTAAATCCTCCATCATTTTTCACTGGGGTGAACCTCTCATTGCCCCAAATAGGGGTAAATTGTGATAACTCTGGACGGTCACCTGCATGTTTATGTGCTGAATGCCAAGTTATAATTTTAGTTTTTATGAAAGGATTCTTTGTGGGGTTTTTTAGTGTCCTTATAGCCGAAGAATATAGAAAGGTGTTTAAGGGGAGGTCTGGAGCAGATTGCTGTTGAATGTCTACCCAAGCGGAAGGTGCCTTCGGACAAAAGTAATGAGTAGCTGAGTTGGGCGGCCATATAATACAATTTGAGATTAGGGACTTAAAGTCCGCCTCTTTCATAGGACAAATAGAGTAGCCTTAAATGGAGCCTTGCTTTTCTATTACTCCAAATGAATTGATTATATAGTTTGTCTAGACTGTCGTAAAAATGAATCTGACAGTGGTAATGGAAGTGTTTAGAAATAGTACAAAAATTTGGGCAAGACTGTCATTTTTAAATAATTTATTCGACCTATAATGGATAAAGGCAAATTTGACCATCGATTTAGCATTTCTGTGAATTTTTCCACAAGAGGATTATAATTTGCAGCGCTTACTCCATTGAGGGATGGAGTGATCTTAATGCCTAGGTATGTAAAACCTTTTGTAGTTGTTTTAAATGGGGTAACCACGATAGGACTTCTCCTTTCTTCTTCATTAAGAAACATTAGCTCTGATTTACAATTATTAATTTTATATCCTGAAAATTCCCCAAATTCCCTTATTTGATTTAATAAAGTGGGGATACTGGTTTTCAAATTACTTATCAAAAACATTATGTCATCCGCAAATAAAGAAATGAGATGGTCTCTTCCTCCAATTCTAATGCCTGATATTCCTGTATTTACTCTAGCAGCCATCGCCAGAGGTTCTATTGCCAATACAAAAAGCAGTGGTGACAGGGGGGAACCCTGTCAAGTTGACCGTTGTAAATGAAAGGGTTTTGATATATTATTATTGGTTTAAAACGTGTGCTGTGGGATCAATATATAGTAATCGTATCCACTTTAGAAATAAATAAATCCTTGTTGATCATCCATTATTAAGTTGGAAAGGTATTTATATAATCTCCTAGCAAGTGCTTTACATAAAATCTTTGTATCACATCCCATAAGACTGATTCCTCTATAGGAGGAGCATTCAGTCGGGGGTTTATTCGGTTTTAGCTAAAGAGATATTGTAGCTAACCTCAGTGATACTGGTAGTCTTCCAGATTTATATGATCCCTCATACATGATGAGAAGTGGTAGGATTAATTCATTTTTAAATGTTTTATAAAATTCTATTGGAAGTCTGTCAGGACCTGGCGTTTTACCGCTGTTCATACTGTCTATTGCTTCAGATATATCTTTTAATGTTAAAGGGCTATCAAGAGTTGTTTTCTCCTCCTCTGAAAGGGTTTTGAATTTTAACTGATTAAGAAATGCCGCTTGTGTTTCTTTGTTTCCAGAATATTCAGACTTATACAAGGTTTTGTAGAATTCTATGAAATTTCCAATTATTTCTGAAGGGAGTGTGGTTAGAATGCCTGATTTGGATTTTATGCTCTGAATTGTTCTTTCCGCTTGCATCTGTTTTATTCTCCAAGCCAATAATTTACCGGCCTTTTCTTCTTGATCATAAAATGATTTATTAGTCCACATTAAGCTTTTTGCCACTTTCTCTGCCGTTAATTTATCATATTTGGTTCTTCAGTTTGTGTAATTTTGTATGATCGTTCCTCTGATAGATTTTTGATTCACTGGATTTCATTTGTTTCTCTAACGATTTTGATTCTTTATTATATTGTTTGTTTTTATTACTGGTATAGTTGATAATATCTTCTCTGATGTATGATTTCAAGGCTTCCCATCTAATACTAGCTGTTGTTTCATCTTTATTCATTTCAAAATACTTGTCAATTCAAGTTTCTATAAATGTGACAAATTTGGGGTCTTTTAGTAAAAGTGTCTGCATCCTCCATCGTTTAACCCCTTAATCAATCTTATTTACTTTAATTTCTAGGGACACTGCAGTATGATCACTAATTACGATACTATTATACCAGCAGTTCTCCACGTATGGCAGTAACTCCACAGAGATAAGGAAATAACAAGAACCGCCTTCTTTCACCTACGTAATATTGCAAAAATCAGAAGCATCCTATGTGAAAATGATGCAGAAAAACTAGTCCATGCATTTGTTACTTCTTGTCTGGATTACTGCAATTCCCTATCAGGCTCTTCAAAAAAGTCTATTAAGACTCTTCAGCTGATCCAGAATGCTGCAGCACATGTTCTGACAGGAACCAGTAAAAGAGATCATATATCACCTGTCTTGGCTTCTCTACACTGGCTTCCTGTTAAATCCAGAATAGAATTTAACATCCTCTCCTTACATAAAAAGGTCTTCATGGTCTCCTGCTGTCCCCAGGTTCCTACTTTGCCACAATTACAACCACTGTTTATAGTCTTATTGCTATTATTACTGCTATCATTATCATGACTATCAATATATTTGCCATTTTTCTATCAGTTTATGTGTTACTGTGTAGGCTGCCTCCCTCCGCTCCCTCTGTCCTTCTCTCGCTCTCTCTCTGTCACCCCCCAACCGGCCGAGGCAGATGGCCACCCACCCAGTAATGGTTTTTCCTTGCCTGTGTCGCTTTGTGCTTGCTCTTGGTGGGAATAGTTGGGCTTCTGTAAATAACTTCAGAGTAACTTCTGAAAATAATACACCTGACTGCCAGTTCTTTATTTTTTTTAACATAGTTGCACATGGTAAAAAAGATAAAAACAATATGGTGCCGTTTTGTTTGTGTTTACACATACAGGATGACAATAACGATAAAAAGTCTTCCAGATGCCTCACTTTTATTCAAGCGAATTGTGACCGGAAGTGTTCCTGCGTTATTTCCGCTAGCATTAGCTGTGCTGGGGCTACAGGATGAGAACTGCTAGCATCCTAAGCTTGTACCCGCTGTGTTATATGTGTTGACAAACCTACCAGCATATTGCGTTATAGAGCGTGATTTTGCAAACAGCTTACTCACTGTATGACCAAAGTGCTGCCGTGAACGGTATGACTAATCTATATATAGCGGTACGGTTGTATGCTTAGCATTAGCCTCTGCCAAAGCCAAAGTCCGACTGGCAGATATGGAGACTCGGGGGATTGAGGACATGTTTGACTTTCGTCGGTAAGTCAGCTAACGCGAGCTCTCTAAACAGTAAGCTAATGCTAATTAGCCATGGTTGCTGAAATGGAGTGTTGTGTAACAGTATTAACTTTAAAATATTAACAGAGACGCGTATGCAAGCTAATTAACCAGTGTGGTCTGGGCATTCTCAGTATATATATATATATATAATGTATAATATATACCCTTTGTGGAAAAATGCGGCAAAGTTGACGTTAACGTAAACGCTCGTTTGCTGATATTTCTTATTAAACACTATGCAACGCTATTAACAATTTATTTATTGCGTTTATTTGGCCATTTTAGATTGATTTGAAGTTATAGACTATGCTTTTGACAATATTAAAAGAAATCTGAGGGCCCACTTTGAGAGCTGAAAACTAAGTTTTATATAAAGATACCCCTTTTTTATCAGGACTAAAAAGTCGGTCGAGTCAGACTATAGCTAATTTTTCACACAAACAAGGCTTCAGGAACACAGATCCCGGTGAACGGAAGATGATTTCTACCGAGCTTTCAAAATGACTGACAACTAAATTCAGGTTAAAATCTGTAGTGACACGTGTACTTACTTTCTGAAAAATGTAATCTGTCGGAAACTCTTACGGATACTGGGTGAGAAATGTGAAACCTCTAGTCAGGAGTTCAGGTGCAGGGGTCAAAGTATGTGTAAGATGTTTGCTCACATGAACTAACTCGGAGTATGAAGGTAAAGTTAAACCTAGCCTACCGTGTGCTTTAGATAAAAGTTTACCCAGTACATTTGTAGTAGAATGATGATGCAGAACCTTCAGATTTGTTTGCTGAATTTGAACTATGAACCATAACAGGGATGATATTTTGTACTTTACAGGGAGAAAAACACCAATTTGAATTTATTTCAATTATAGTGTGGTAGGTTTGTTGGATTTCCATATTTGCAAGCTAGGGAATTCAGATTCTTTTTTTAAACTAACATGGTTAATGTTATGATGGGAAATTTTGGATTCTTATATCTCCTATACATGTATTAATTTTAACATTTTCAATCAGTTGTAATGAAAATGTCTTATCACAGGTTTCCCAAAGATGCCGTAGTTCTCCTGATGTTGCTCATCTATTTTCCCGTTGGTGTCTGTTTGACGCTAATACGGATTTTTATCGGTGTTCACGTTTTCCTGGTCAGCTGTGCACTTCCAGAAAGCTTTCTACGAAGGTGACTATTTCATAGCATGTGTTTTCCACCAACATGTTTTATTCACATTAGCATTAAGTGTAGTGGCTAAATTATTTTAGAAAACAAATAATGCAAACTGTTTTATTTTGTGCAATCATTTCTGTTGCATGTTTCCACCTTTCAGATGTTCAAATTGAGTGTTAATCCAAAAGGGTAGTCTATATAATTCATTGAGACATGAGTCACAGCATTTTCCATGATGAATAAATGTATTTTTTCAACATGATGAATTAACCTTGACATATTGTTCGATGATGACAGTTAATGTGCGAGATGTATCTCTAAAAACAGCTGTAATGGAGCTCATCTGGTGAAATAAAGATATTGGATCGTTGTTAATTTTTTCAGGACTGAATTATGACAGGCTGTTTTTTTCCCTTTTTTTTGTTTGCTTATAGGTTTATTGTGAGGATTATGTGTTCTGTGCTGGGGATGCATGTAAGACAGAAAAACCCTCGCTCCAGGGACAAAAACACTAAGCTGTATATATGCAATCATGTGACAGAGTTTGACCACAACATAATGAACCTCCTGACCGCCTGCAACACTGTGAGTGCTAGTTTCATTGTTTTTTTGTTGGGTTTTTTTAGCATGCTGAGGTGTTTATGCAATAGTTTCTAAACCTTCTGGCAACACTCTGTGTGCTGGTCTCATTTAGCACCTGTCAGCATGCTTCAGTTTACATGGCTGCAGTGGTGTATAAAAACTGTACAGTTATTCTTAGAAAGCTTTTTTTTCAGCCAAATTCATTATAGAACATGTGTATCTGATTGTACCTTCAGTCATCTGCAAACTCATTTTATATATATATATATATATACACACATACACACCCTGGACATGTTACCATTCCATCACAGGGCTAAACGGAGACAAACAACCACACACGCTCACCTTCTCTACCAGGGGCAATTTAAGATCCTTAGTCAACCTATCATCCAAGTTTTGGGACGGTGGGAGGAAGTCAGAGTACCCGCAGGGAGCCCACGCAGACATGGAGAGAACACCATTTTTAGATCACCTGCAGGGCATTTTAGGCACTGGGATATAATTCTGGCATGGCCACGTGAAAGTGAAAGCAATATATATTTCAGATGCAGAAATTTTCTTAAAATGCAAATGATAATTCTTGCTAAGTTTTGTATTCCTCGCAGCGTCCAACTAGGCTTGTTACAATCGCAACAGCGACAGTCACAGCAAGCATTTTATTCATTACTATGGTTTGGTAATATGTTTTTTTTTCCTTCTCATTAGCCCCAGTTAGAGGGCTCCACAGGGTTTGTGTGTTGGGCAAGAGGCTTCATGGAAATCCACTCAGCATCAGCTCAGGGTGCGATAGGCGAGACTCTTCAGAGGTACTGCTCCTCTGAAGGCACCACTCCCCTGCTCCTGTTTCCTGAAGAAGACACCACAAATGGCCGTGCGGGTCTGCTCAAGTTTAGGTTAGTGGATAACATGTTGAAAGATACAACCATTCTCTCACTAAGGACAGTAAAAAAAATCTGAAGTTAGTCAACAATCACTCAAAGATTTTTTTTTGGCCTTGAAAAGCAGTGTTGTGTCCTATCAAAGAGCTGTGTGAAGCATTTCAGTCCTTATCTCAAATACTTGCAGTACGTCAGCCACGTTCCTTTTAATGCACACAAGTCAGCACAGGATTGTGTTCTGGAGACAAGCATGTGGGAATTACATTAGTTTACCAGTTTAAGTTGGACTCTATTGGGGCAGTTTTAGAAAGTGTTTTTCCTTTGACAGAAAAGGGTAAAGGGAGCACAAACCTGGACTATTCTATATGCAGTCCCCAACTCTGCGCTGAAAGCAACTTGATGATTATTTACTCTTCAGTTATGTTTTTACTTTACTTCTATTATTCTATTTACAGTCACATATATTAGACAATCTTTTATTTTGAGTCTCCTAACATGATTATTTACCATTTTACTGCACAAATATGAAAACAAGTTGATAAATGATAAGAAACTAATGCTACCTATTTAAATATAAGTAAGCAGTTGCAGTAGTAGCACCGTTTCCATTTATATATGTTTACAATACAATTCTCAGCTGCCACTTGTTCCGTTTGCCTTTCTCTGTGTTTGTTGTATCATCTGCCACACATGGCTGCTCCTGTACTTTAATACTCATTATTCTAAACACGCAGCAGCTCCAGCTCCTCCTGCCTTTTAGTTTATCTTTTAGCTAAAACCTAAGTCTACAGGGGTGAAAAATGACTTCCTTTTAGGGATCAGATACGAGAGGACCTCTCCCTATTAAAGGAGAGGTCAGCTCTGTGTATCCAGTGTTACCTCATTGTTTTTTGTTTTTATCTTCACAGTTCCTGGCCTTTCTCCCTGACTGAATCTATCCAACCTGTGGCCTTGAGGGTGACCAGACCACTGGTTTCTTTGGTAACATTTAAACTTGCATTTCATGCTTGCGCATACTAATTTTATCATGTGGATGACACTTTACGTCAGAGTAAAGTCCAAGTTCAGTTAATGGTTTTTTGCGTGTGGTGTTGAGACTCTTTGTATTTTTGTCAAATGAAATGGGGATTGATGGAATTCGACAAAACTCTAATGTTAAAGTGTGGTTCGCTCAGAGTTCAGAGTGGGGAATGATTAGAAAACGTGGGAGATTTGTTTGAAACGGCAGCTCAGAATGATTTGTGTTTGGTCATGATCGTTTAGCTGTTGTAGTTGTTTAAAGAGTGAGGAAGGATATTTAAGTGACTTTGTAGCTTTTGATTACACATTTGAATTGATGTTTTGTCCATCCACAGAGCACGCCGGAGTCCAGCTGGCTTATGGAGCTTTTATGGACATTTTTTGTCCCATGTACAGTGTATCATGTAAGGTACTAAATAACCTGTCATCATTTCTATTTAACATTCCTGTTAGTGGTTGATTGGTTGATGTTTTTTACATTTCCGAATCATTCAAACAATAAAAGTATGAAAGTAAACCATCTGGGAAATCTGCTCCAGCTGATAATGCGATCAGTGAGTATATTTGAGTCAGATGGCTGGAAAATGACATTGCTACAGTGGGTAATTTAGTTAGCTGTAAGCTCTGAATATTACATAAATGTTTTTCTTGGTTTTCCATCTTTATTGCCAGCTGGCTCCCACCAGTGTCCAGGCAAGATGGCGAGTCCACACAGGAATTTGCCAACAAAGTCCAGGAGGTGAGTTCTGTTCTGAAGTTCACTGTAGCTGACTAAAAGTACATATTGCGATTATTTTATTTGACCCATATAAATTTTTAATTGGATATTATTTGTGTTGTCTTACTCAGCTACTAGCTATTGAACTTGGCCTAGTCTCCACCAAGGTCACTAAAGCTGATAAAGCAGAGCACATTAAAAGGAAAAGACATTCTGTCCCACAGACGTCTACGGGTGAGTCAGTCGGCTGATTTTACAGGAAAATTAACTTTTTTTTTTGTCGAGCTATTCTGATGTTGGCAGTTCTTTTTGTGAAAAAAGTAGTCACACCTGGATCCATTGGGCTTGGATTCATGGTTCCAAGTCTGGGCACAGATGATCACCGGCTTGCTAAGATGGCCCAACAGGTGAAGGACGTACTGCCTCATGTCCCGCTGAATGTCATCACGAAGGACTTAGGTAGGGCACAGTTTTAGTTCACATTTCTATTTTTGTTTTTTATCATTGAATCCATTAGAAAAAAAAACATATCCAGAAAATGTGGTAAACACTTAAGTTAGTGGCACATGAGGGTACCAGGATTAGATGTAAAAGCAGCTTCCACCAAAGTTTTTAACTTTATGTGCATTGAGCATTGAGTTGGGCTTCTGTAAATAACTCTATAGTAGGGTCTGACCTGCTCCGTTTGGAAAGCGCTGTGAGATAACTATTGTTGTGATTTGGCACTATATAAAGAAAATTGAATTGAATTGATGGGTCCACCACTTTGTGCCAAACCCTGTCAAATAATTGTTGAACTAATTTCTTAAAGCAAGATTGAAAATAAAGAAAAAAGTCAGCCTTTAAACAATTGCCATGATAAACTAGTAAAAAAGATCCAGGAAGTACGAGTGAATCTTTAAGTGTTAAGACCGAAGGCAGAAACCAACATTTCCACACAGAAAGAGCAATTGAACATGCATCCACACATGTAAGCGGAACCCATTACACCAGTAGGAAACCATATATAAACTGTACACAGAATCTAAACCTCATCTCTGAGGATGTTGGTCAATGTTACAGCTGTTTTTTGGAAAATATCACATTATTGCTGGGTCCTCATACCAAAGGTTAGAAAGCCCTCCATGGTAAAGGTGGAAAAGCTAAGAGAAACAGAAGATTTTATGATGCAAATAATCAAATACTCAGAAAAATATTCCATTATTTCAGTGTGTTTGTGCAAGTAAAACTTAATTGGAAAGTTAATTAAATAAGCAATGTGAAATTAGTTCATTTTTATTTCTGCCTGCTGCCTGTCACAAATGAAAGGTTTTGTGGCATTTAAAAACAGAATTGCACCTCTTCTAAAAGTGGCATTTTTTTTATCTATAGCTGTATGTTCCCATTTGCATCATGTCCTTTTACCTGGTTGATCTTTGCCAAAAAGTCAAAGTTGTCCTATCACTGTGTTCAGCTAAAACCAACTGTGTTGACACCACCATAACAAATCTGCTGGAGAACAGAGAGGAACCCACGATGGAAGCAACTGGAATCTCGCCATTTGGTGCTTCTAAGATATGCTCCTTTTCTTCCTCTTCTGCTCCAACCATAAAGGTTTGACTATTCTGAAATCAGCTCTTTCTAAAACTGAATCTATACACTATTTGAATTGGGTGTTTGCTCAGTCTAACTTGTTCCAGGTTAAATTGTTTTCTTTGATTCTATTACGATGTGTCCTTTTTGTCTCTAGCCTGCTGCCAAATCCTTTGGGAAGTCTCCAGCTGACAGACACATGTCCCTCCAGGAAAGAAAGGAAGCGCTATATAATTTTGCACGAAGGTGAGAAATTTCAAGAAAAAATCATTTGCAAGAAAATTTGGATTTCTTCGGACGACACAGTTGCAATAAGATGAAGACCTGCGTGTTTTAGAACTGTCCTAATTTGTCTAACAGCTTTAATTATATACATTTGGTATGATTCGTAATGTTTCACTATGGAGGAAATAATTCAATCAGACATCTGGTATGGCCACTGTCCTTGTGAAGGAGCGGCTTTCTTGGGTTATCCCATGGACAATCAGTGGCCATCAGCCTGCCGTTGGCCCAACTTGGGCTAACTCCGGTCGATTAGGTACCGAAATGGCAAATGTTTGGAGGTACAAACCGCTACTGGAAATGCAGAGAAAAACGAGTAGAGTTGAGCTGCAACGAGTAGGTACGAGTGGAAAATGTAGTCAAACACTAATGCAACGTTTATTTTAAAAGAAAATTTGTTCTGTGATTTGTCAGCAAAAAATCAGAGACCCAGGTGTGTGCTGCCCTCCTATGGCCAAAATGAATTGCTGTAGTTTTTATTGATAAACAAACCTTTTCCCCTCAAATGGTGTGTAAATCTGTGGAGCAGATAACGAATCACACTCAGTTAACCCACATTCTGTGAAGTAATTTAGTTTTCTCTTTCAGGCGTTACATTGAAAAGCATGGACTGGATCATGAAGACAGCCACTAAACACAATTCGATTCAAGCCATTGTTGAGATGGTCAGAAAGGAAGCATATTCAACCCGCATCGCTGTCTAATTTGAATGGTGATTTTTTTTATATTCTATCAACTGGTTCCGTTGGGTGGGGGGAAAAAAACAGATTTTGTTGTTTTCAAATAGCAACAAGTATTCAGAACATGTATACATTCATGGAATGGTGATTTTTGCATGTGTGTTTAATTCTTCGTTCTGGCCGATACATAATTTTGATAACAGTTTGTATAACAATCCACTGACTGTGAATCATCTATTTATTTTTATAATGTCCAGAGTTGTTGATGAAAAATAAAGTTCAGCTTGACCTTGCTTTCAAGTAAAAAATAAAAAAGATGGGAATTTGTTTCATTCACAGTTTCAGTGACTATAACCTGATTCTGATGTTCCAAATACTCCAATATGGTAACTGTTTTTTAAGCAGGGATGGGTGAGACAACTTAATTGTCTTTGACTTCTATTTGTAGTCACAGAATGGTGCTATTCAAGTGTTTTCAGTATGGCAACCTTTCTCTAAATTCATGCATAAGTGAGGGACTATTAAATCTTAACACGAGAGTCCTTGAATATTTCAACAGCACTGTGTTATTTCAATTTAACGCTCACCGGTGATGACCATAGATTAAACGCACACATTTCTGGAGCCCTAAGCCAGCAGCCAAATTTAATATAACTGTGTGAAGCAAACTGATTTATTGAATAAAACACTTAACACTGGATAAATCTTTACCCAGCACAGTTTGAAGAAGAATAAATGGCTTATAGAATAGTTTTCCACATTTCATCATCAGTCTCCACATTCAGATCTTCAAATCAAATACTGCGAGGATGACTAAATCCAAGAGTCAAGTTAGACATCAAAAGGTTGTATGTTTTTTATATTGCACCCTTTGCAGTGGGACTCATTTCTAGCAGCCATAGTGAGTACAGGTATAATTGGAAAACCAGGTAAACAGCGACAACTAAACTTCCCTAACTTGGAAAAAATCTGAAAATCCTGGCGGATTAAAATTTGAGGATAATTGATTGAATGAGACTAAAGTTCCATCCATCACCTCGCAGCAAGAGGTTTCCGGGTTCGAGTCCCCAAGGGAACCAGACCGTCTCTGTGTGGAGTTTGCATGTTCTGCCTGTCTCTGCGTGGATTCTCTCCAGGTACCTTGGCTTTCAAAATCCTGCATGTTAGGTTGATTGGACATTCCAAATGAGTGTGCTTGGTTGTTTGTGTGTTTCTGTGTGATCCTGCAATGGACTAGTGGACTGTCCAGGTGGTTTTCAATTGAATACTGGGATAGGCTCCAGTGCCGCGTGACCCCACTTGGGAGTGGACTGTACAGAAAATGGATGAACTGAATTTTGTGCTGATAAAAAGAAGTATTCTTTGGACTAAGACAATTATATTCTAAATGAGAGATAAAGAGATGTTGCTAGAGGAAGGCCTAAAACAGAATATAAAGAAGCAGAGCAGCATGAGCTACTATTGGTAGCCATTTGGGAATCTTACCATTGTCTCTGCAACAAAATAACATTCTTCAAAAAGAATCAGACCAATAATAACTAGAAGTTGCCCTTCCATTTCTATTTTTCTGTAGGGTACTCTTTCGTTTTCTTGGAAGTTGTGAGTAATTCTTAGTCACATGGATCCATGGTGTTAAAATCCTTGCAGTGACTGGTACATTAGTAAGCTGTAACTGCCCTACTAATTGGAAACAATGATCTTTTATTAAAGTTAAATATATATCCAGATATTTGTCCAGATCTGATACCGGAGGCTTGGACATCTTTGGATCTGAAAGAAAATGAAACAAATCATCGGCATATAAGGAGACTGGTCCAGACTACCTCTTGTGATGCCAAGCATTGGGCTGGATCTATGGGCTGCAGCGAATAAAACACTCTCTACGGTTTCTTTTCTGTATTTGGAAAGAAGTCGATTTTCTATAAATGTGCATTAGTATTTTTTTCCAAACTAACTGACAACACAAAGCCGGAGGGACGAGTTTTAAAAGCCGCTTTCCGGCACACCGGAAATTACGTAAACCCATTTCCTCCGGAAACGGCGCTGCTCAGATTAAGCTAGTAAATTAGCAATGTCACTTGTCGAGGAAACTTCCAATGAAGCCCCAGACATTAAAGACGACAAAGAGTTTACTGTTGATGCTGACGACCACTTTGGGGATGATTATGGCGTAGACCCCACCCGATATGTGTTTTACAGGTAGTGTTTTGTTGCCATTTACCTGATTTGTTTGGGTGGCTAACGTAGCTACCTTTGTTGATGAAACAGACAAGTACTTTTACATTAACTAAAGTTAGACGTGAATGCTCAATTGTTGTCCTAACATTAGGTAAAACAGCCGCTCACTGTTGTTTCGATTTGATAAATTGAGGGTTTACGTCCGTAAATTTTGTTCCACCTGGGACAAGTGCATATCAATGAAAATGAAAGGATGAGCACGCCAGCGAAAATTGCTGAGTTAAATGCTACTTTAGGTTTGACTTAAATCTGAATGAGCATTAAGTGTGTTGGAATTAATTAGTAAAGTATATACCACCTCCAAAAAATATCTGTGATGCAGGGACAGAAAGGAATGGACTGATCTGGAGCCAGTTCCACAGGATGACGGACCAAACCCCGTAGTAAAGATCGCCTACTCCGATAAGTGTAAGCGTGTTGCCGAGTTGCCTATACAGATGCGTGCTACATTCATTATTAGACACATTCAAAATCACACAAAACTAACACGTTGCATCTTTAGAAATTCATGACTGATAGCGTGCTGTTCTCCCAACAGTCTCAGACGTGTATGACTTTTTCCGCGCGCTCCTGAAGAAGGACGAAAGGAGCGAACGGGCGTTCGATTTGACTGCAGAAGCCATTGATCTCAATGCTGCAAATTACACAGTCTGGTGAGCATTTGGCTTGTGTGAAGGAAAAGGTGTTTAAAATGGAAAATGAGCAAGACAAGTGCCTAAAATCCCACCAAACACAAAAGAGAAGTGTTTAGAAGAAGGATTGTCTCTTCTTTAAAACGCAGGGTGACATCTTGTGTTCCCTTTGCATATATAAGATTACAAGTTGTGCTCTTCAGGAAAACAATGTTCTAAGGGTCAGATTTGAAACTTTTCAGGCACTACAGGCGAGTGCTACTGCAAGCGCTGTCAAAGGACCTGAGGGAGGAGATGAGGTACATCACGAACATCATTGAGGAGCAGCCCAAAAACTACCAAGTCTGGTGAGAATCTATCCCAGCTGAAAAAGAATAGTCCGTTATTTTAAAATGAAGATGATATGGATTTTAGTTTGAGTTACTTACTCGTGGAAAGCAACAGTTCACTCACATCAATCCACTTTTCTTTATAATACCTTAAATGGATTCCTCTGATTACAAAGAAATGCCAAGACTGTTGTAAAACTGTTTTTATTTTTTGTTTTTTTAGAGTGGTAAGACCCCACAGGAATATTGACCCAGCACCTGCCTGCTATCGAGAAATAGTAAATGAACATAACTGACTATGAATACGGCTGTTTATAATGTGCAAACCGTTTCAACCCCATTCATTGTGGCACAGTAGTCCACAGCAAATGTTTACCTGCTGGAAATGACTCCAGCTGTTCTGGAGGAAAAAAAGGAATCGTGCCTTCTACTCCAGGAGAACATTGTGTTGATGAAAACCCGACGCATGCGCTCCCACTCTGTTGTTCCAGGCATCACAGGCGTATGGTGGTGGAGTGGCTGAACGACCCCTCAGAAGAGCTGGAGTTCATCGCAGACATTCTCAGCCAAGACGCCAAGAACTACCATGCCTGGCAGCACAGACAGTGGGTCATCCAGGTGGGGGTCTTTCCCATAGCAGAATTTGAGCTGAAAGCTGAGAGGAACACAGCCAGTTGGGTCATGACGCCCCGCTCGTTCTTATTCAGGAGTACAAACTATGGGACAAAGAGCTGGAGTTTGTGGAGAATCTCTTGGAAAAAGATGTGAGGAATAATTCGGCGTGGAACCAGAGGCATTTTGTCATTTCTCACACCACGGGCTTCTCCGACCCAGCTGTAAGAGAGAGAGAGATCCAGTAAGTGGGTTAAATTAAATGTAATTTTAAAAACTTTTTTTTTTTCTTTTTTTTCTATATTTCTTTTGTTGCATACTTTTTAGTGACCCTCCTCTCTTTGCCTTAGGTATTGTCTAAATCAGATCAGAAAGGCTCCTAACAATGAGAGCGTTTGGAATTATATGAAAGGGTAAGAAATCCAGCATATCTTCCCCACCCTCCCACCCCTCAATTCATCTCGTAATACCTTGGAAATTAGTGAGGAGTAAGTGTATCACAAGCCATGATGCTTTAACCCAAAGAACCAAAAGCTCAGTTTAATTTGTTTTACCTTTTTAATTTCCTCTTGCTTTTTCTCAAAGGATGCTGCAAGACAGAGGTCTGTCGTCTCAACCAAATCTTCTGGAGCGGGTCCTGCACCTGAAGGAGACGCATTGCTCACCGTACCTATTGGCATTCCTGTTCGACTGCTATGAGGACGCTTTGGAGGACAGTGCCCAAAATAATTTTTTGAAGCAACAAGAGGAAACTCTAAATAAGGGCTTAGAAGTAAGTATTCATGCAGACTTAAATCTGTTATTTGGAATGATTACCATCTCTTAATTTGTGCCACCAGTGAGCTCCTTTGACCCTCCTTGTTTTTTTTGTGTTTTTTTAAAGATTTGTGAGCTTTTGGCACAGGAGAAGGACACCATTCGGAGGGAGTATTGGCAGTTTTTGGGACGTTCTTTAAAGAGCAGATTTGGAGGCGCCGGCCCCTGTGACAAGGACGTGGCGGATGTTGCTAAGCCAACGGTTCCTACACTCGAGCCTCAGCAGCACAGCTAGACCTCCAGGGATAATCTACCCTTTTCCACTCCGCTCTGCGCTTCATTGGCAACGACTCCGGGTCGACTCACCGAGTCTGATCTCACTGTAAACCGTTATGTAAAGCAGCCACCAACCTGAAGCTCAAACACATGTAAATGTCCTTCTCTGGCTTTGTTTTCATCTTTCCTATCCCGGAGCACTTAAGGACACACCTAAGCAGCATTTACATGTAGAAATGGAGAAATGTGTCCCCAGTTTATTGCCTGTTTTAATCTAAAGGTGATGTTTGACCAGCCTTCGTTGTCTTTTTGTGAATCCTAACACGCAACTCATAAAATGGTCACTGATACCCTGTAAGTGTGTTTGCAAGTACAACAATATACAATACTTAGTCTTTAGAGTTGTGGAATTCATATTTGATTTGGGAAAGCAAGTCTCTATTTTTTACTAGTGGTTCTGATTTTAATGGACCAAAGAGGCTTTAATTGGACTTGTTTTGCATGCAAACCCACTCCTAACCCATGTGGTTTTGTTTGAACTGAGGTAACTGCAGAAACAGTGTGCGGTCATGCTGAATTTGACTTGTAATACTTTTGATCATAATAAATCGGACAAGAGACAAACAGCGGGTTTCATCAATGCCTTCCGCAGATTTACTTGATTTCTAAGTTGGCACTACTGGTTCTGAATGAGTTGCCAGTAGAAACTGAACCAGACCAGTGGCTGTGTACACATCAAATCACTCGCAGCCTCCTGCCTTGGCCTCCCTCTGAGCTTGGAAATGAATTTTCTCCACTAGATGCAGCTGTTTCTTCTTCTGCTAACACTACACCAAAATCCACCCCTCCCCTCCTTTAATTTTTTCCGTGTCTCAGCAATGTGTAATTATAACCTTTGTGATCGGCTGGTGTGAGTAAGGCTGCTCCCTTCAACGATGAGGATCCTGTGATTAGAAAGTTTACGTCATCAAGAGTTGTGACAAGACTGAACGAGAGTGTCGCATGACACAGATGACTGAGTCACTTTTCCCCCACTTTTTCTTAAACAGGCTGCTATTTAAACTCTTGGTCACATCTGTGAGCAAACCATACAAGTATCATTCATTTTACAGAAGCGATTCCATTCTCATGAAGAAGAGTGGAGTCAAAAATATCAGCCTTCTCCGCAGGTGTCCGAGTTCAACAGCCATAACAGCAGCATGAGGGCATGTGTTGCCTCGATCTACATTTTAGAATGCATGCACAGGCCTTGTCGATTAATGTAGAGTCCTGGAGCGCTTCCAGGTTGAGTCAGAGACATCTGTTTCTGCTAAACGGTGGCTAATCCTGTGTGGGATTCTGCAGCCGCTCTATTCGTAGAGGACCACTTGGTGTTTTACCCTCAGCCCCGATGGCAAAGTCAATGAAGCACATGGACAGTTTATGAGGGGGGGATACATGTTCCCCAGAATATTGCACTTTCCAACTGGGGGGGCGGAGGACGGACAAAGTACCATGACCTCATGTTATATTCCGTTTTCTGCACACTATGTCCCCAGATTCTCTCTTGGCGTTAACAAGTCTTTCAATATTTGCAGGGAGGAAGATTGAAAATATTAATAAAATTTATGTGCAATTTCTGGCTGTAGCTTTTATTCAAAATGACAATTCTCATCTTAACTTGATCAAACTTGGCCTCTTTAAGGTCCTCTTACCCAATCATTTTACTGACTTGTTGCCAGTTATTCTCAATTGTTGCAACACATTCCTCCAGCTGTTTCTTTTTTTTTTTATTAACAACACTTAAAAGCCATTTTTTAAAATCACTTTCCCAATTTCTTTTAATATGTGCTGCTGCCCTTATATTCTAGATAAGGGATACTTTAATCATTTTACCTTTTCAATGTGCCTTTGTAAATAAAATAGTGTTTTATTATGTTTGCAAATCCTTGCATTCTCTTTTATTTTACATTTTAGACAGCCTCTAAGCCTTTTGAAAAGAGGGGTTCTAGCTACAGAGCTACACTACTACAGACTACCAAGGTAAAAGGGAATGCTGCTTCAATATATGATGGAAATAATGATATAATAAGAAAAGGCATATGATTTATTTGACAATGAAAGTATACTACATATACTGCAAAGCTTTCTAACCTCAGGAATGTGTGTAGACTTGCACTTCATAGTTAATAAATCAATTAAATAATTTCTATCGCTACACATCATCTAAATGGAATGATGATGAGATGACACAGCAAATGAATAAGCCCTTAGAAGAAAATCAAACATCCTTTTAGTGATTTTTTAAAAAGGGTTTGTCGTCTGAATGGAATCCGTAAGAAACTGAATGAAGCATGAAAGGAAATTCACTCAAAGAAAGGCTTATTTTGAACTGAACATTACTTAAAGGTCAAAGAATATACAATCCCTGAGTGAAGTACCTCAAAGTCCAAGTACTTCTCTGGCAGGAGAAAAAGGAAGGGGACAAATAGGAGGGTTGATAAAACTGAAATGAGCAAGCCGATTGAACATGTTTATAAGTCTCCTATTGGAGGGGACGTAGCTCACTGGCTTTTTAGTTCAAACACAATATCTCACAACGGAGGGCATTGTTCTAAACTATTACTTGTTCACAAGTGGTCCATAGCTTTATAAACCATTCTTAGCACAACTGTCTTCTTGGGGAGTTCGGTTCTATAAAGTAAGGTTTTCTGGTAAAAACTATATTTTGTGAATCAATGTTAAGCTTTAAGTTTGTTTTTCCTTTACTTTTTCTCATGATGCGTACAGACTCGGATGAATTGCTGTCTGACACCAGGACTATTAGTGGTCAAAATTGTGTTGATCATTAGTTTATCTGTATCTTTAATTTGCCTGAAACATGGCCCCAAAGCAAAGGAACCCCCCCCCCCCACCATGTGCTCTGTCTTGACCTCACACATACCCATCAACATCACATTCCCATAATTTCTCTCCCTTTACACTAATGAGCCATCTGATCATCATCATTACTGTCATCATCATCCCAGCACAGCTCTGGAATGAAAGTGAAGGACTTTGTTTCACTAAAACAGTATGAAAGGCACTTTTAGGCAGAAATAAAGTTTTCACATAATAATGAGTTTGATGGAAATTAAATTGGAAGGTACTTTAGATATAAATCAAGTTTCAGCATCTGTTGTTGCCAGAGCAGACAGTGCATGAGGGATGGTTTGAAATGGACTTTTAAAAAAAAATGTAACTTCATAATATCAGTTGAATCGTGAATGAAAACAAATTGCACCACTGTGAGTTATGATTTAAATCTTGAAATGTGTCTCACCCTAACTTGGTTTTTTGTGACCATTTACCCTTCTTTTTGGAAAATCGACAAGTTCTTTAATTTAGAGCTTCTCCATGGAACCTAATTAGGTATAAAGTAGATAAATGAGCAGCATAGTTCAGAGTTCAGGATGAAACTGGCTTCAGTTTGAATTATGAAAACTTTGGTTTGTTTGATGTGTGTTCCTTGTAGATGAATAATGGAGAGTAAAACAAAAATACTAATAACTCTGGGATCATCCGATGAATGTGATTATAGTTTAGGTGTCAACTATATCCACCTCATATTTTTTCAAAACTTTAAACTTCTTTGAACTTCTTCCTCTCGGTTGGGTCTGTTCCCTGTCTCATCCCGTTCACGCAGAGTCAATTCCTCTCCAGCATAAGCACCGATAGACTCCCTCCCCATTAGAGCCATCGAGAGTGGAGGCTGCTTTGGAATCATTAATATTTATGGCCTTAAACAGGATTTCACCATCCGACCTGTCACCGCTGTTGTAACTGCTGCTGTAACTGCTGCTGTAAAAGTGAATCTTGGATGCCGAAGCACTCCCTTCACAGCTGACACTTGGCACAGCTAAAGTAATTTGCGCTGAACACACACAGTGACCTATAGTAAGTTTGAATTATAAGGTGGAGCTTGACCACATCATTAGAGATTTTACTTCTGAGAGTCACAGAGGAAAGAGGAGGCCCTGTTTTTTCTAAACACTGGTGAAAGCTTCAGTCCAAAGAATGCACTGCACACTGAAAAGGCCCATTTCAGAGAGTGGTTTTGCACCTTTCCACCTCTCACTGTTGTGTGACTGTTGTGATTGTACCTATTGGAAAGGGAATTAACGTTCTTATTCAGTAACACTGTCTTCAAAAACCTGGAAGACAGTGTTGTCCTGACCATGACAGGAAAATCACCTGCGCTATGGAAGCGAGCAGAGGCCTCCTTGTGCTCTGATGAAAGGCATATGCTGTTAACAACTTCTGCTTTATCAGATTTGTAAGGCCATTTCATCCAGTTTTGCTCATGCTGAGATTAAAATGCATACTGAGTAGTATTCACCTGTGAGTTAACCAAAGCCATTTTCTCGGCTACTCCGGCATAGGTTTGTGGGAAAAGCTTTTGATCACAGTTACAGTCTCAGAAGGCTTCACAACGCCCACATCATGGAGCAAGAAATGTGAGAAATAGTTTGAATCTGTCACCGCACAGTGTTGACATTATACAGCTCCGAAAAAGAGCAGAAAACTCAGAGCTGTAGATTTTTTCTGCTTGGGCCAAAGAAGTAAGGTGACGGTTTTCTTTTTTTTTCTTTTTTGCATTGCTGCACCCAGTGTTATTCAGTGCCAACAGACTGACCCAAACCATATACCTACCACAAGGCAACCAGGCCAATCTGTCAGCCAGTCAGAATATCATCACCTCCTCAATCACAACATCTTCTCAGAAAACCTGTGTGCGGAGTGGTAACGACCTCATTAGAGTTGAATTCAGATCTGTCAGCTGTACTCATAGAGTCAATGAGGTGGTTCATTGTGATGAATGGATGGACAAAGTCCTTCTCTGGTGTAATTCTCTAAACTGAATTGTTAAACATTTGTAATTTCTTCACATTTGAGTAAAATTAACCCGTTACAAAAGTCTGCACCTCTGTGCCAGCAGACTTAACCTTGGAATCACTGAAAAAGCCTTAAAGTGTTATCACAATATTTAATCATGGATATTCAAAGTAATTCTTAATAATGATTTTCGAGTTCCAATATGAGTCAAAGTTTTTTTCAGATGGGAAGCCAATGAAACAAAAACCTATTTTTAACCAAAAATAGTTTATTTTTGTGTTTAACTTTCAAAAGGGAAAATCCAGGCTCGTGAGTAAAGAGCATCTTTCATCTGCCTGCTCCATTTGTCTTTTTCAGGGAACCATATTGAGCTTCACGCTCAAAATGTTACGTTTAGACTGTGGGTTGTAGCTTCTGTTTGGCATTACAGCACGGACTGCGAATGACTCACGCAGTGTGTCCTTCAGCATTTTCAGCTAAATTGTTTGACCATCTCCAGACTCCAATCACGTCCTGTGGTCCTGTCTCCACCACGCCAAGGCATTTTGGGTACCGACCAGAAAACACACACACATACGCAACAGATATAGCAGGCCCGACACTAAAGTGTGTTATCAAATCTTGTTTCCAATAAAATCTCAGTGGACAAAATGATCTTTCGTGCCCATTTTTAGCCTGCTGGCTGTAAGGAGAGATTGTGGAGCAGCCCAGTCAACTACCGCGGGGCGCTATGCAGAGAGTTTCAGCACCGCGGACAGCTCTCGTTCCAGCGCCTC